GGTCGGTTCTTCTGTCACAATCTGTGATGGCGAGGAACGATGGAGATGAGGAATAAACGAAACAGTCTTTAATCCAAGAAACACAGGGTACATCCAACACTGGGAACGGCAATAAACACATGAACATAACAAGTAGAACCGACAGAAACAGACTGCACAGACTAGGACTTAAATACAGGGGATGATTGTGGAAACACAGGTGTACGGGATGACTAATCAAACTAATTAACAAAACGAGGACAGGAACATGACCAAATAAATTTATTAACATGTAGCCTTTCTGTAGAAGCATAGAAACAATGTATGGTATAATCATGTAACAAGCAGAATGCAATGACTTGAGTTGGGTTTCGTTCACTGGTACATGAGGGGGCATGAGGGTTGGGGGGTGTTTTTCCTTTACTTCTGTTGTTAGGGTGGGGCTTGGTGTGGATGGAACAGAAGGTGATGACTGTGGGGATGCAAGATAAATGACGAGTTTGAACGGGAGATTTTTGTCTGTCATCATTCATGATTAACATTGGTAATGTGGATGTGCATTACTGAACTGGAAAGAAACTAGCTGTCACTTTTGTCACTAACAGGAGAGAAAGAGAGATACCGCTGTGGAAATATCCGCAGGTGATTTGAACAAGGATGCCAGTATGAAAACAATGCTTGACCAGTTGGATTCTGTGTTTTTAAAAAAAGAAAAAGATCACCAATACAATGAGTGCACTGAGTTTGGAGGAAAGATGGCACTGTAGAGTTCTGACGCAACCCGAGCTAGCTCCAATAATATTTGTTTAATTAAAGTGACTGCTAGCTTATCAAAAGGGCTGATTTCTTTTTTTGAGAATGAGTCTAGAAGATTATTTTGGAAAACCAACAAGTAGGAAATCCAGGAAATGAAAAAACAACAAAAACCGGACCAGTTGATGCTGAACAAGCTACCATGAAGGCCTGCACCACCGCCAATGAAGCGGAGCCAAAATTATTAATAGCAATCGAGAGGATGACAGAAAATGTAATCTGTGCTATAGGCACTAAAATTAGTATGGTCCTGGACTCCTGGATAGGGCTGGGAATCGAAAATCGAAAAAGTTTGGCTCATTTG